AATTTGGGGGTACAAGGGGGTCCAAAGTAATTTATGGGTCCAAAATCCACAATTGGGGGGGGGGGGGGTACAAACTAAGCCTTTTTCCGGTGTTTTGTACCCCCGAATTGATGATTTTGTACCCCTAAATTTCTTTGTACCCCAATGACAACAAAATTGTGGCACCCTCCGCAATTATTTGCCAAAGGTTAGGACTATAAATTTTTGGGCTCTATCGGAGTCCAGTGGTCCCATAGGATTTCAGTAACCTTATGGGATTTCAAAGGTTCCATAGGAGTTTAGTGGTCCTATGAGATCTTTACATACTGTCGTTGCTGCAAATGAAGATTTTTCTTCTGAATTTCGTTAGAGATTTTTGAGCTTTCTAATCGAATTAGTATACCACCAAAATCATATTGGGCCATTAAAATCCCACGGATTATTGAAATCCCATGGGTCCATTATAATCCTATGGACCCTTTGAATTTTATGGGACTATTGAAATTCTATGAGACCAATTTTTGTAGCGGATTGATAGCTTGAAAAAAAAGACTTCGTTCTATTAGAGGTTTTACGGTATCTTGTTTTCAATTAAATATATATTTTTTAGTGTTTATGCGATCCAATTTTTTATTGAGCTTCACAATCAAGAGAAGAATAGGAAGTACAGAGACAATGCTTAATATTTTTTGCACCAAAAATTCAGACCTAATTTCCTTCGAACTATGATTTTAGCTGAAATGGTGCAATAGTTTCCTCTAAAATATCTGAATTTGCGTATCCTTCTCAGAAAAACCCAATGAACTTCAATTTTTCAGAGGCAATGGATCCGGAGGATTTGAATGAGATTTTCGCTGGTTCGATGTCAGTGAGCACTACAGATCATTCAAAACCTCGTGAGTTTTTGGAAACCGTATTTTTTCCGGTAATGTTGGTTTTTCGAGAGTTCTGAAAGTTTTAGAATATCTTGAACAAGGGCAGAAGTGTCCTAACTTTTAACTTTGGGCCAACTTTTCTCAGTTCCTGAGAAATATAACAAGTAGTGATTTTCAAAAGTTTTAATTTTGGGAAAAATATTCAGAAAGTGTTAATTTTCTGTTATATTTGTTGAAAAAAACACGTTGCTCCCAAAAACTTAACGGTCCATCTTTTGGAAGATTCAAAAGATTCACGTGGCTCACAAAAATTTTTGAAATTTCAGTACTTTTATGTGAAAATTAAAACTTTTGAAATTCACTACTTGTTATATACAAAAAAGTGGTCAACTGAGAAAAAGTTGTTGACATTAGCATACATATTTTGTCAGTTTACCTCTTTTTAATATCCTTGACAGAAACCGAGATAAGTTGCCTCAAAATTAAAAGTTAGGGACCCTTCTGTTACTGGTTTATGGTATTCTTTTACAAAAAATCAACTATCACACAAATGAAGACATGTTTTTGAAAAAAATATCTGGAAATTTCAGAACATTGGAAAATCTTTCAACGATTTCTTCAATTTTCCAAAGTCAGACATTTTTCACTGATCACAACTTCTTTAACTTTTATGTTCATTACTAGAAAAGAGCAGTTCCTGGACTTTCATAAATCCTCCTGTCTCAAATCGACCAAAACCTGAAAAACCCTTTAGACAAACACATCTGGTTTTTATTTTAACTCAAAATTCTTGTAACCATACTCTCCTCTTTCCCTTACTCGCCTTCTGGCTATTCCTGTATATTTCTGGCGTCACTAAAAACGAGTGTCCTCTCTGTCTCCGTGTCCATTGTTGTTGTCAATTTTCAACCAACTCTGCTCTCCGGTGCTCTTCTCTGTGCTTTTTTTTCCAGCTTGTTTTGAAAACAAGACGTTGTCCCCCTGGTCGGTCTCCTCCTCCTCCCCGCCTTCTTATGTTTTTTTCATCATCTTGGTAAACGCAAAATGCTTTTTTTCAATTGATTCGTTCTGATGACTGGTCAAGATTCTTACATTTTCTGTGCATCTCTTTTCTTTACGTCTGAAAACTCAAAAATAATATTCTAATATCTGAACACACTAATTTTCCAGGGAAAATTAAATAGAGATATTCATCTGCTCTCGGTTGTTGTTGCTACTTTTATTTCAGAAAACTTTTTTTTACTGATCAAAGATTTTGCAAAAAAAGAGGTGTATTCTTGGAATCAGCTATAAACAACTTCTATGTTCTAGAAAGGAGGTTGTCTGAAAACTATGACCAAAACTAAAAATGTCTGGAACCAGAATAGAAGTACATCTTTTCTTATTATTTTTAGGGTAAAATCATTCTGTATTCATGCAAGGAATTGAGTGGCCTAACTTTCTCAACATGATTTTCCTAGGCCACCGTAGTTGATGGTCCTGAACATGGGCTTGGCGTGTTTTCTAGGGGATTTAAGATGGTGGCCTAACTTTTGCAAGTTGAGCTTTCCAGGTCACAAACTTTTATGACATGGAATTGACTTGATATTCACCTGGTGGGCATTCTAGGCCATTTTAACATGGTGGCCTCACTTTCTCAAGTGGGGTTTACTAGGCCACTAGTAAACTCAATAGCCTAGAAAACAAAACCAGGTAAATATTAGGTAACTCCTAGAAAATGAAAGCTGGTAGCCTAGATAAATTCCACTTGTAAAAGTTAGGTCACTATGCTTAAATGACTAGAACGCCTAAGCACAGTTTAGTGGTTCGAAAAAAAAATAGAAGAGACCCCACATCGTCAACTTTGACCTCAGTTATCTCAATTTCTATGAAAGGTATGAAAAAGTGTCAACGAATAAATTGTTTGTGATTTTATGATAAACAGTTTATCAGCAGAGAAATTTGGTAAGACTTTCACAGAAACCGAGATGAATTGGTTCAAACTTGACAGTGTAGGGGCCCTTCTATTAAAGGGTTTACGGTAGAATCAGTACTCCTGAATACGCGATTTTATGAAACTGAAACTCCTTTTTCTAGTTTTGAGGATTAGTTCTGAAGCTATAACTTACTTTCTTCACCATATACCAAACTTTTGTTGATTTATGGGAAACCGATTTGTATCGATGATTTATAGTTATTAAGATTGAGATGATGATCGGAACTTTTTGAAATATATGAGCCTAATTGTGATGGATCACCTCAACTCTCGTACGAGGATCTCGTCCATCACCAGAGTTCCAGTTTTTCAGAAACCCAATGACCCACTCTCGCTTTAGATCTTGATATGACGTGGCACGCGAACAGGGTCACCATCTATTCTCTCCTTCACACGAAGAAGAAAAATGCAACATACTGCAACCAAGCGCGTATTGTATACCACCTCCTCCCACTCTGCCTCCTTCCTTTTTTCTCTTCACATTGATCAACGTTGACTGTGCGATCGGCTGGTCCTCCTCCTCCTCGTCCTCTTCCTCTACCTCTTTTCTTTTCTTTTACTTTCGCTATCTGCTCCTCTTCGATTGCCTCAATGTCTCTTTGCAGGCATGCCTGTCCGTTTCGCTACATCACTCCACGGATCATGTACTATTTCACAGCGTTTTGCCGCCAAAAAGTACCCCTCGCGCCCCAATATACAATCGACATATACACAGACAAAGACATGCATACATAGATAGACACACTTCTCGATTCCTCGAATTGAAAAAAAAACATATGATTTTAAGATTGCCGAGTTCTCTTCTCATGATTGTTTTTTGTTTCCCATTCAATCGATTCCCTCCATTTATGGCCTCTCTTGGAAAAGTGCGCTCCACCTGACAGTGTGTTTAATGTCAAATGAGTAAACGCGCTTCACCGATAACACTATTTATTTGAATGGCATTCGATAATAGCACTTTTAATGAACCACTTCTATTGAATGTTTTAATGGATTTTGTTATTAGCTATCAAAACAACGCAGTTATTTTTATAGAAGAAGATCATTTTATATATTCATTCAAAATCAGAATATCCTAAAAAACAAAAGTGGATTCGTAAAAAATAAAAGTTTCTCTGCCTTCACCTCTACCCCCAATCGTCGTAATCCTTATCCGAGTCGCCTTCTTTTTCATATTTCTATTCTTCCTCTTCTAACAAACCAACACCACAAAACATCATCTTGCAAGAAGAGGAAGACGAAAAAAAAAACATTGGGACTGCTCTCTATTCTGGCTCTTCTTTTCCTACGTGTTTGGGACGAAATTTCTCTACTCTTTTCTCTTCGTTTTCTTCCCCTATTTCATCCGGGCACCCCTTCGACTCCCATCGATTCTGTTTGGTGTTGTGGTCCACCCTTTTCCCTTTTGTTGACTCAATTCGTTCATCTTCTTCTTTTACTTAGAGACACAAGCTCATTAGATCCCCCCATTACAAAGTTTGGATTCATCTTTGGAATTTCCCGAGAAAAAAACAGAGATTTTGAAATTTTTCGAAAAGTTTTCAGGCATCCTAGGTTGTGAAATATAGAAGAACCTATTGCTAATTGTACGAAAATTCAAAAATATTGTTTTCGTATATTTCCTAAATTCCATGAATCTAGGTTTCCAGTCTACTCTTTGAGATTCTGAGACTTTTGAGATTTGAATAAATAAAGATTTCTGATTTCTGACGTCTATAAAACTACTAGCCAAATCTTTTGAGGTCCTTTCCCGAGCAAATAAATAATCCCTTAACTACAACCTGAGATGGCTAATCTATACATCAGCTCAAGCATCTTTTTAATCTCTGACATTTTTCCGTATTCACACCTGCCATTTGCGCATTTTCCTCGAAAAGAAGAAATTGATGGAGAAGAAGGCTCCATTCTTCAGAACTAATATTTCAAAAAACTAGACGTCGTCGTCGGTTATAAAACATGCACATGCGCGGCCCACTCTTTTCTCTCCATTTTGTGCTGTATGTGTTCTTCTTTTTTCTCTTCCTTTTCTCACAAAATGTCTCACTTTCATCCTCCTCCTTTTTTTCTCTTGCTTTTCGCCAATCTTTGGCATGACATTGAAAAAAAAGAAAACGAAAACGAATCGACCGAGAATCAGAGAAAAACAGATAGAGTCTCACTCGAAGAGTCTCAATATACTTAAAATTTTTTTTTCGTCTTCATGTGACTCTTTGGCTTTGTTATATAAATAACTGATTTTTCGAAAAATCTCAAAATTTCAGAATCAAAACGGGAAGAACACAAAAACCGGGATTTCAATCCCGCTACCCAGCAAAATACTCTCCCACAGGATAATCGCTCCGAAGGCGACCAGCAAGATCAGATCGTGAGTTTTTTTTTTCTGTAAAAATTTTAAAAAAGTATCTAAACGCTTAAAAAGCATCTAACCCTGTGTTGCCTAAACCTATGTGTTTCGTTCTGAAGATGTCGACCTCATCGAAACGCCGAAACACCAACAATTCCCGATGTGCGAGCTTACTCCAGGCAGATCCTTCGACTTCGGCGGCAGCAAACACCGAAGATCTGGACTCAGACGACGACGAGGTAGGCTGCTTCACCTTTGTGAAATGTCTCTAGAAGAATTAGAACGCTAGGCAATTTCATAAACACTCTTGTCCGTCTGTTTTTCGCATTAACCGAAACTAAAAAAAAGTTTTTTCAAAAATTTTCCAAAAAAAAAAACATCAAAAATACCGTATGAAAAGCTTGATATGTAAATGCCCGATGCGCCTTTGAATCAATACTGTATTTAGTAATTGTTCGAAATCGCCGCTTTTCGCTGAATTTTTGCTGAATATAAAATCAAGTTTTTGTAAAATTGTTTTAATTAAATTTTTAAAAAAATGTTTCAACATCGAAAAACTCGAAATATTCCGAGAGATTGAGGCAAAACTTTCAAAACTACAGTCAGAAAAGCTTGATATAACCGATGCGCCTTCAAATCAGTACTGTAGTTATTGACTTCACTGCTTGTTGCTAAAAATATTTGAATTTGAAAAATAGGTTTTTAGAATGCAAAATAACATGTTTCTCCCAACCAAAGAAAAGTTCACTCGCACACAAATTATATCCTTCTGACGGCGTGACGTCTTCGTATTCGCCGTTGCGGAAAATATAAAAATAGTCATCCGACAAACTACCCTCATGTTTACTCGACACCTCCATAAACATAAATCGTTAAATAGCAAATTGTTTCCCTTTTTCTCTGAAAATCATGAAAAAATATTTATCAATTTACAGATGTCGTCGGCCGGTGATCCGTCGGAGCAGGCGAAGCGACCGCGGACGCCTAGAGGTCGTTATTCTCCAGACGCTTCTCAGAAGAGAGCTCATTCAAGAATGAGTGCGTTGAGCATAGAAACAAGCCGAAACACCGACCTAAATGCTGATGGATCCGGTCCGAGCAGTAGTAGTGCTCTTTCCTGTGCACTGGTGAGTGTTATTTGCCATTTTATGAACATTAATTTCTTTTATTTTTCAGTCAACACCCGACCCAGATCGACTGTCTTCGCATAAAAGGAGAAATGCTCCACCATCATCTGCTCGCTCAAGGAAACGACGAAGTCCATCGGTACCGATGTCACAGGAGGAACAGTCTGAGCTCGATTCAGATGACGAGCAAGATCAATCAGAGATGGAAAGTCTGGCTATAGTGACAGATGATCCAACTTATAAGGTATGTTTTTTACAATGATGAACACTAAAAACTTATATTATCTTTTTTTCAGATCACTCCTGAACACAAATCGCGGTTTAAAGAAATCAAAAATAATGTTTCATTAGATTACGAGTTTAATAAAGGAGAGCTAGCTGAGCTATACCGATCGACGAAAGCTGAACAAGCACGACTCCCCGAGCAGATTCAATTCGGAAACGTCATAATGAAGACGTGGTACGGCTCGCCGTTCCCTGCCGAGTTTATAAATGTGAAGCTGTTGTACATCTGCGAATTCTGCTTTTTCTTCGCCCGATCCGATCAAATCATGCAGAATCATGCGAAAAAGTGCACATTTCGAGCACCACCCGGAGTGGAAATCTATAGAAAAGAGGATATTTCCGTGTTTGAAGTCGATGGACGCATTCAAAAGTGAGAATTTTTAATAATAAATAATCAAAGCCAAATAAATTCCAGAGCCTACTGCCAAACGTTGTGTCTGATTTCCCGGATGTTTCTAGAGAGCAAAACAGTGTTCTACGATACTGAACCCTTCTTCTTCTACATTGTCACAATCAACGACGAAGTCGGATGCCGATTCGCCGGCTACTTCAGCAAAGAAAAATACGAGCCGGATGTAAATAATTTGTCATGTATCATGACACTTCCTAGGTATCAAGAAAAAGGACTCGGGCGATTTCTGATAGATGTGAGCTACGCGTTGTCACGGAAAGAAGGCTGGAATGGAGGACCCGAGCAACCGCTGTCAGATCTTGGAAAGAAGGCGTACGGTGGATACTGGAAAACGGCGATTGCTTGTTCGCTGGTGAAGTTCAAGGACGACATTGAGTTCGGTGATGGAATCAGTTGTGGAGGTGGGATTTTCATTTATTTTGAAAGCTTAAAATTCAAAATTCTTTCAGATATCGCAAATGACACTGGTATTCATCCTCATGACGTTATGCTAGTTGTGTGTGGGATGCAATGGGGGAAGTTAATGACTCCAGAAGGCAGTAAAGTCAGTTTCATCGAATGGAATATCGACTGGAAAGATGTTCATGCCATTGATGAGATGAAGAAGAAGGGACATGCAATGAAGATACAATTTGATGAAGACTACCTGGATGTAAGATTTTTTTGTTGAAAAAACAAATATTTTTAGGTTACGGTAGTTCTCGTTGTGGGACCCTCTTTCACAGCTTCAATTTTTGTACCAGAATAAAATTCAGATGAGAAAATAATTCCAAAAATTATATAAAGTATAACGATCACAAAACAAAGTATATAATAATTTCCAATTACATCATTCCGACCACAATCCCCTCATTAATAATTACCGATTTTCAGTGGGTTCCACGAAAAATGCACCCATCGATGGATGGATTCCACGAGTTGTCCAAAGAGGAAATAGCAGAGGACGAAGAGAGACGGAAGAGTCTTCAGAAGACACCAACAGTTGATGATTCAATGGACACAGCGACGCCAACCAGCCTCTGCATGCCGACAAGCTCCGTTAAGAAAGTTCGTAAGAGAAAAACACCAGCACGTTTCGGTCATAAAAGGAAAGCGAGGAGCTTCTGAAAAGGCATCGCATGTTGTTCTCTGTTCTATCGCTTTCATCTTTTTTTTTAGTTCACTAAATACTTTTGTATTTTCATTTTTAATCTAATCCCTAATAACGATTCCCTTGTGTGATTTACATAATTATCATACCTTTGATTGCATACCGGTTCCACTGAATCTCATAAATTTCAACTATTCTGTTTGCACTTTGCACCCTGTCTGAATACGTCTGTTTGTTGTCTTGCACCTGCTTGTATCACTGACCATCTTTGTCGAACTTTATAACTTGGATTATTCAGGAACTGAGAAGCCGAGGACACAATCGAAACACGATCGGAAGAAATCTTCAGCTCGAGTTGAGGAACAACATCAAAGTTCCAGAAGGGAAAGAAGTCACCGACGATGAGACGAAAGAGGATTGCATGAGAAAGAAGAAGAAAAAGAGTTTCTCGCGGTGTGAAGGTTAGTATAATTGAGCTGATATTTAGGATGATTAGGCAATTGATTTTAACATTTTCTTGCGAGAAATTTCTTGATGAGTCTCTAGAATATTAGTTTGAAACGCAGTATCACGCTCAAGACATGTATACGCCACGGTGTTTTTTTTCGGAACGTCTTGTAACTGCGCTAGGACGCTAACTTTTATATACTGTAGGAACAAGGCGTTGGTCTCAACGCGAAAACTTCAAATTGAACTGCTGAATCGCTACTCAGCAGTGCCTGCATTCCATTTGAAAAACGTTCCGGAAAAAAAAACGCCGTGTATACGAAACAGTCGATGACCAAATCATTGAATTTGTCCCATTTCAATCTAAAAACATGATCCAATTCTTTTCAGACAATGCCTCTGCCATAGAAAAACGTCGTGATGACTCCCCAGACGAGGATGAGCAACCTGGACCTTCTTCCAAGCCAGTTGCGAGACGTCATCGAGGCATTAGAGATTTTCTAGAGCCAGCTCCCTCGACTTCTGAACGTAAAAGCGGTTCCTCATCAGGAGGGCATCGCAAACGAACTGGAGATGTCAAAATTGATGACTCCGAAGATCCGACCGACGACCCAGTATCTTCTGATGACGACGATGACCGACCGTTTGGTGCAGTGGTGGCAAGCCAGAAATTGAAAAATGGAATGGCTCGAATGGCAAAGAAGGTGTCGAAGAAAAAGAAGTCAGTTTCTGGAAAGAAGTTTCCTCCGAATTTCGGAGCTCGGCAGGAGAAGAAGGAACCTTCAGACAAGCCAGAGATTCCTGGCCCGTCCGAAGGAGAAGACGTTTTGATGGAGCAAGGCAAAGAAAAACAAGAGAAAGTGAAGAAGTCGGAAGATGAAACCACGAAAGATTTGAATGGAGAGAAATTAGAAGATGTTGGAATGGCAACGGCTAGTGAAGCAGAGGAGTTGCATGATGATTTTCATTTGAATCATATGGAGGAGGAATTGCCAAAAGTGAGTTTCTAGATTATTTGAATGTTGGTCACCCAGTTAGCTCTTAATGGTCGTGAGAGCTTTTTTGGTGTCTAGCCTCTCAATAAATTAGATTTTCCTATTCAACCAGCTTCCCTAACCACTCGATTCCTAACTCTTTTCAGAACTACGACATTGGAACACCCGAATCCTACCACTCCACAGTTTCAAGTCGTGCCAACACGCCGCAACCTCAAATAATGACCCAACAAGTTCACTTCAGTGTAGACGAGAGTCAATTTGAAGATAACGATGCTGCACCACCTCTTCTGGTTTCTGAAGTCAACAACTTGTCGGTTTCGGAATCCGCAGAACCACTCGACGATGGACCATCCGACGCTCCGCCACTTGTTCAGAGCTCTTCGATTCCCGGAGGATACTCATCGGAAGACGATGATGCTCCACCAAGACTCTCCCCTCAATATGGAAAGACGGATGAAGAAGAAATGATTCCAGAACCCAGCACTGTAGAAATTGAAGCCCCTGCTGCTCCTGTCCAACGTCAACAATCGCAACACAACGGAATGCACGTGGATGAACCCTATCGTGATCCAATGAGTGCTGGACCGTCCTCTTCTATCCAGATGACACCTCAAATGATGGCAAATGGGCAGCCGAATATGATTAATACAACGCCCCAGCTACAACACTATTCCACACCAACCTCTCAACAACAAACCACTCCAGGTTCTGGTGGCATTCCATCTTGTGGACCTGTCTACAGCCATAGCACTCCTGAGCAGCAACAACAATTCATGAGTCCTCAAATGGCTGGAATGCCAGCATCGGTCTCTTCAGTTCATTCTGTACACAATAGCAACTCGATGGAAATGGTTGGTGGGCCTCCGTCTCTTCAACACACTCCACAGCAACAGTATGATATGGGAAATTCCATGGGACAAGTGAGATTTGTTGTCTATAAACGTTTTTTTCTAACTTTTCAATTTTTTCAGATGCAGCCGGAAAATGGAGTAATGGTCAATGGAATGTCGCAGAATATGAATTCCAATATGGATCAGCAGAATCAAATGATGATGCAACAACAGCAACAACACGGATTCAACAGCCCCACACGTCCTGCGGTGGTTCCTCAGCAACCACAACAACCTCCTCAACAGCAGCAACAACCTCAGCAGATCCCTCAACAACCCCCCGTTCCTGTGCCTCCAGCACCCGCTGTCACCAACGGTAGACGTCGTTCAGAATCTGGCGCCAATGCTGCCGGAGCTCGCAAGTCACGTCAACGCTCAACGGCCGCCGCTGCTCCAACCGTTCCACCAGTGGTTCCTGCAGCACAGATGCCATACAATCCGATGCAGATGATGCAACATATGCCAGTACACGGATACTTTCCTTATGGATACCACGCCTATCCACAAATGCCAGAGAACGGGTTTGGCTACGGGTACGCCAATGCCTATGGATATCCGCCGGTATTCAATCCGATGCCCCAGATGGATCCAGCCGTTTACCAACAGAGATGGCAACAAATGGCTGCGTTCAATCAAGGACAAGTGCCAGCAGATCAGAATGGTGCTGCAGCGGCAGCCGCAGCCGCAAACTATCAGTTCCCTCCTAGTGCAGCAGGCCAAATGCCATACTTTCAAAACAATACTCGTTGATTTCAAATAGTCCCGAACTAACTTTTAGTACATGTAGAAAAATTAATTTTTAATATTCTGTGAATACATATTATTGCATTATTAATACCTCTCAGTTTGACCCCTCCCAAGTCCTCGTGCTAGATTCTCTAAAGCCAACATTTATGAAATGATTTTCTAGTGCCAATGTTACCTCGGTCCTCTCATCTCCTCCTCTCTCGTCTCCCAAACTCTCTCTCACGATGCCTTAATTTTTCAATTAGCTTTAGTGTGTTTTATTGTTCCCCACATCCCCTCCGAGACCCTCTCTCAAAAGCATATTTCTGTTTTCCTCTCTCGCCCGATTCCGTTTCAATTCCAAACATCTCATTTCACTCAATGACCATTCATGTTTAAATAATTGGTTTATAATTCAAATTGAGTCACTTTTTATGTGTTCGTGTATATGATTTATCGCACCGTTTTGTTTTTGCAGAGCGAAGAAATGATATAAATGATATAGATTTTATAAAACATTGACTTTTGTTGGCATAACAGAAGCTCTCTCTTTTCGGAGAGCAGAAGAAGAATTGATTACAGTAATCGAGATGACAGAACCATCGCGAGTTTTGAATACTGGATGGGTTAAATAAAATATCCATGGGACTATTACAGTTTCACAATCGTTTCCAAACGGTCGGATGATCATCATATAATAGGTGTAGGCGGGAACTTGGAGATACAGTATCTGAAAACTTCTTATTGAAAAATGTGTTCTCTGGCCTAATTTCAACGGCCTAAAATTCGACGGTAGGGTCGTATGTCCTTTAGCGAAATTTTTAAAGGCGCATTTAAAGGAGCATTTATTGGATGTACTCTTTCGTAATTATTTTCTGGCCTTTTTTTTTCAATAAATTTCCTCAATTTTTCGTTTTTTAATACATTCTTATGCGATTTTTCGGATTTTTGTATAAAAAAGCTCAAAACCACGAGAAAAAATCATTTTACATGCTATTTTTTCGATTTGTCTGATTTCTGTGAAAAAATAGTTGAAAATCGATGAAATTCTGTTTTTAAATAACCGAAAAATAGGCCAGAAAATAAGTGCGAAAAGGAAAACTTCTTTAAATGCGAACAATAAAGTTTTTATTGCGATTTTTAGCTTTTTCATACAAAAATCCGGAAAATCCCAAAAGAATGCATAAAAACAATGAAAAATTAAGGAAATTTATAGAAAAATCGAAAAAATAGGCCAGGAAATAATTACGGAAACCACATGCTCCTTTAAACCATACTTGTGGAAAAGATAGCCGGCCTGCGGGCCGGGCCATGGCCGGGCTGAGATTTTTCTGAAAGCGGGCCGGGCCGGAAAAAATTACACATGGTCGGCCTGCTTTTTGAAAATTTTGAAATTTTAGAGCGAATCATCATTTTTCAAGATGGTTTTTCTTCTTACAAGGGAAGGTTTTTCAGACAACGGTTGAGAGTTTGCTCAAAATTTGTACAAAGGTACTTTCAAACATGCTGAATCCGAATCCAAAAAAACTTTTAGCCCGTTCTCAAAAGGAGCCGAAATATGGCCTCTGAAAGTGCTTTTAGTACTAAATTTTGGCCAAAAACATGCATTTTTCGAGGTTAAAAATTATTTTTTCAGGATTTTCTTGAGTGCGAAACTCATTTTTGGACATTTTTCTATCTTCTAAAGTAACTTTTTAACATTTTCAAAAAAAATTTTTTTTGAAAACACACTTTGAAAATGATTTTTTGAAAATTTTTTGAAAAGGGCGAAAAAACGTTCCAATTATTCAGAAACGATAAACATAGCATTCTGACAAATTTTTTCAGCCCAATGTTGTCTTTGGGCTCAAAAAATTTCCAAAATCTGATTGTTGTTAGAACTTTGACTGTTCCTAATTTCTGAAATATCGCTTGAACTTAACTGAAACCTATAGAAATAGGTTTGAATCTTGTATGTGATCGATTTGACAGTACTCCACCTCAAAAAGAGCAAAATTGAGCAACTTTCAGAGACTGAAATTTTCGATTTTAACGATACGAGGATGTAAGAACCGGTCGAAAAGACCATTATCTATTTTTTCCTCAAACTCTCATGCAATCTTTTTTTTTCATTGAAAACTTTTGAAATTAATCAAAAACTGTCATATAGTGCCTAGGGGGGGGGGGGGGCAAAATTGAAATCAAAAACTAGTTTCAAAAAATGCAAAGAAAGTTTTACCACAGTCGGGGTCGAACCAGCATATTCAATACTAATGAGTCACCCTCTTACCACAACACCACACAACCGATATTTTCATCTCACGCGGAATTGGTAGAGGAGGGAGGGGGAAGCCGAAATCCCCAGCGCACCGAAATCGGCCCAAATTTTCAGACAAAGTTTTTCGGCCTGGGAGTGAGAACTGGCTAGAATTTTTTTCGTCATCGTATAGAGCATGTCTTAAACTATAAGTATGCAAATTTTGAGCAAATTCTCAACCGTTGTCTAAAAAACCTTCTCTTGTTAGTAAATGAAAATCCACATAGAGGCCGATACTGTCGACAAAAACTGTTTTGAAGTCGTAATTAGAAAAAAAGTTTCATCTTTGGCTTGATGAAGTTTGATTTTTTTTGCTCAAAATTCAATTAAATTGACTTCTTCGGATGGTTGTATGCATTTGGATTAATATTTGGGCAATTAAAAATATTTTGACACATTTGAAAAGTAACATATTCGAAAAGTTGTCCTAGGCGGGCCGAACGGGCCGGGCCGGCCATCCACATGTATGCTTTAAACGAGCCTTTAAGGACTTTGCTACCGGACCTAAGCTCCGCCCAGCCTCGAAATTTTAGCCGCACCGCGCACAATAATTTAAAAATAACTAACCGTAAATATACAATAAGTTAGGTATGGCATTATCATGGCTACCGTAGTCGCCGTTAACGAAATTTCAGCTTTCCGACTTCTGGAACTTTTAGATGTTCCCTGTGTGGCTGCTATAATTGCATTCCTCAACTTGAAGAATAACACAATGTTGACGAGAAGACACGATCCCATCCAGAACACTGTATTTATCAGGTGGAATATGGAGTTTCTCATCTGAAATATTTTTTGCATTTCTTTCTTCTTAGAATGTCTAATCTAAAAAAAATTTTAACTCATCCTGAAAAATGACAATGATGCATCAAGTCAGTGATGCATCATGGATTCATCAAACCTCAAAAGTGAAAGACTCACTCCAAAAGCACCACCAGAATAGTAGATCGAAACAGATCCAAATGGGTACGGACCGCTCAACTGTCTACAGTAACCAACTGCAGGGATCAAGAAAAATGTAAAACAGATTGGGTAGATAAGAGCAGCAGGCACACAAATCGCCAAGAGGGGAGTGTTTATCTATAAATTTAGATTTTATAGTTATTGCAAAGCCAAAAGGCCCCTAATTTTCAACTTTTCTCGGTTCCTGTTAGAGATACGAAAAAGTTCTCCACTAATAAATTGTTTTCCATAAAATCACAAACATTTTATCAGTTAACCCATTTTTAATACCTCTTATAGGAACTGCGATAATTGAGCTCAAATTTGACAGTGTAAAGACCCTTCCGTTACAGGTTTTATGGTATACAGAATGTTTTCAATCGTATTCAAAAACCCAATTGTCATCCGACCGAAGCATTCTTTGCTCTCATTTTTTTCTTGTGACCTAACCAAAAAACCTTTATTTCAATTATCCGGAAAACAACTTATAAACAACTCTTGTTTCTACCCAATCCACATAATCAAATAGCCCGATTTACGCAATCTTTGCAAGTTCAAGGTATCAAGCCCACCCTCTGGAATCAAAAAGACCAACTCACTTTTTGATGGGTGTTCGGAAAAATCATTAGAATCAATCGAAGAAAACACAGAAGAAATGGAAATATCATAGCAGAATAATTAAAGTAAAAAGTGAAGAAGAATATGAGTTTCAGATACTGATTTGGGTATACGGTGGCACAATATGACGTGAAGAATCCGGTGGCTGGAAGACGGAGCATCATGTAGTCGGCAATGAAGAATAGGAAACTCTGAACAGATTGGTTTATTTTCAACATTACCTTAAAACTTCTAATAAAAGTTTGAGTCCATTTACCGCATTTCCTCTAATAAAAGCCCACCTCTAACTGAAGCCCACCCCTAATACCCCCCGACGTGCTTAAAAACATAGAAGCGCAACTCCTAACAGAATTTCGTGCAGTTCAGTTATTGCAGTTCGTACAGTGCAGTTCGTTTACTCGGTTATTGCAGATACTGTCTTTCTTTAAAAAAAAAGATACTCCGGTGGTTTCAGTTTTTTGATGATTTCCTGAGAAGGAGGTTGAAAAAATAGAAGCCCATTGGCTTCAATTAGAGGAAATACGGTATACAAGATAAAAGAAGTGTATCAATTGACAAAACACTTCTGGTATTATGATAAACAATTTATCAATTACAGTTTATATCTTCCCGTTCATTAACATTATTTCACATCTTTCGATCTTTTCAACTTTGCTCACTGATCACTTTTCAAAAGATTTTCTCATGCGGAACTTGCTTTTGCAAATATCTTGTGATACAACAAAACATCACCCACTTTTCTATTTTTGGTAGGGAAAAAAGTTGGAGGTTCTAAATTGAAAATAATCCGTGAGGTAGATTTATGATAAAATTATGGGCCACAATTTTCTTGAAAATGAGACGTGACATCGATTTACACCAATTTTTGAATAGCATGAAATCTCTTACATAAGTGCACCCTTACTTTTAACTTTGAGCCAGTTTATCTCGGTTCCTTTCAAAGAAAAAAATGAACACGTTTCCCGCGGATAAATTGTTAATCACGATATCAAAAGTTTCTTGCCAATTAACTAATTTATTATATTTTGCATAGGAATTGAGATAACTGAGCTCAAACTCGACAGTGTGGGGCCCTTCTATTACAGGTTTTACGGTAACTGTCGGTCCACAAGGGGATTCTTCCATAGTTTAATTTCATGGTTTAATAAACACTACCGTAATCCCAGGGTCCTTTTTCTTTAACTTCGAATCTTCCCAATTTTTCCAGAAGCTTACCATAACTTGTGCTAATGACAAAACCAGAAAAATGTGCTGGTTGATAGGTACTTGTTTTGGGGAGACTAAAGATTTCCAATAGACATGAATAATTCGAACAATTACAAAAAGTGTTGGAATCATATAAAAAATTGGAATAGCTGCAACAATAATAGGCCAAGAATCCCATTTGGGTGAATAGTTTTGATAAGTTTCATTTCCATAAACAGCTTGAGGAAATGCAGCCGAGGATAATAATTCGTTGGACATCGTTACCTATAACCTCCTTGAAAGATCCGATTAGAACAAGAACAAGAAGGTGTTGGGTGGGAGGAGCTTTGTTTTAGTCAGGAAGTCGAGCGGAAGGAAAGGAAATGCATCGAGTTAGCAACAGACGCGTTAATTGGAATATACACTACATTGGTGCATTTCCTGGAAAAAAGACGCAAAGATTGGAGACATTCTGGATGTAGGGGTATACGCAAATTGGGATATTAGGAGCAGGGAAAGATCTCAATGGACTCAGGGAGCAAAAGTTCGTGAAAACACGTTCTCACGGGTGCAAGAGTATTTCAAGCATCAGGAGTTGATACCTACATATGCCGCGTGGCACACAATAACCCGGACGGATAAAAACGAGTCTATCTTTAGATATAAGTACCTCGGAACACAAAAGTTTTCAGGATTATAATTTTACGTTTGATTCAAAGCTACTGAAATTTTCGAAGCTAATCCTCAAGTCTAGATATTGTTATGATTGTCCAAAGATGAACGGCGTAATGTTTCCTGCACGCCGTTGTGATTCTCCCGAGACGAAGCAACTTTGACAAGCGATCTCAGCTCAAAGTTGATTAAATAATTTGAAATTTGGCCAGGTTTCTGATGAATGATTTGAATTTTTGTACTCCAAAATTGAGCCCAGCACAACGATTTATTCAAATCTGCTAATACAAACTTGAGTTCGGGGAATGAATATCCTGTGATGTTGAACCTACCGTTAGAATACTCGTTTTTTTTTCACAAAATTGGAGAGCTAGTTCCTCGTATCGCCGAAACTGCTGCTGACGATTGACTGATGGTTTTCTTCTTTCGGAACATCGGATGGGTCATATAGAGAATCCATGGCATCATAACAGTCTCACAATCATTTCCGAATGGTCGGAAGGTCATTAGATAGTAGACAAAACTGGGAAAAGTTAGGTAGACAACTGTTAGAAATGTGTTGTTGATGAACGGAATGATAAAGGAAATCATAGTTATTGACAAAGAAGATTCAGCTCGCTGAGATTGCTGTCGTGTTCTTGTTGATCTGCAAATGTGTTCGCATGCTATCAATTAGGATTTTTATGGGTATTACGTAGTGTTAAATGCAGATTGTCGCAATTTAAGCATCATCAATAAAGAACAAAGTACTGTCAGCGAACACATGACGATTGACATCACCAAATGGATATAAGAATTTCTCCACTTCAAAAAATAAGTGTTCCAATTAAAACTTTTGAGCTAAAAATCTTGAAGACTTACACCAAGCCACCCGCCAGAGTAATAAATATAAACTGCGCCAAACTGTAAAGGCGATCCCATTTTTCTACAATAACCAACTGCAGGAATCATGAATCCAGTGCAAAAAACAGGAATCAAGAATAGTAGGGGAATGGATATCCTCATGATTTTCGAACAGATCTGAAAAAGTGTTCTATTTCGACATCTCAAAATGGTTTGGAGATACCGCCGGATGATCTCTGGGATAAAAAAGGATGATGAGTCGAATGAGGCAAAGCAGAAAGGGGAGAATCAGAATGCAATAATTGAAGTAAAAAGTGAAAAGGAAGATGAGTTTAAAATAATGATTGGGTTGTATTGAAGCACACCATGAAGTGAAAACTCCAGTAGCTGGAAGGGAGAAACGAAGATAGTCGGAAATGAAGAATAAGGTATTCTGGAAAAAAGGGACAATACAGATGTTAAGATTTTCAGAATTTTGAGCAACCTTAAACTTCTAATAGAAGGGTCCCCAAAACTTCTTACTTTGAGCAAAATTCTTCATGTCAAAGAAATCAAAACGTTGTCAACTGATATGTTTGTCATAATGTCAGAAATGTTTTGTCAGCTAACACATTTTTGTTTATTGCATAGGAATTGAGATAATTGAGTTCTAACTGGAGAGATCCCTTCTATTACAGGTTTTGCGGTGTGTTCCCCTTTTGGGTTTATTGTTAGGTCACTTGTCCGAGAAGTTCAAAACTAGAACTAAATCTGAAGAAAAACAAAAATTCTCATTTCACTAGTCTAACGAAAAAATTCTAAAATTAAAAAAAACTACAAGGCACATAAATCATCTCTGAAAACAATCCAAATTTCAACTCACGAACAAAAAGTAAAGCATGATAACCACATAAATGTTATGATTCATCGAGTGAGCAATGTTCCAATGACTTGGAGATCGACACGACTTGAAGATTTTCAACATTATCACAACAGTAGGACTCATATAAACTAGGGGAATCGCGGCGAGAATAGTAGAAAATGTGAAGACATAATGAAATTCCTGATATTCTTGAACTTCATAAATCGAATCTTCCAGTTCAGCCATATCTGAAATGAATCGAGGTGTCTAAAAAGAAACACGAAATAAACAAGAACTCGAGGTATCCAAAAAAAAATTTAATCAACTTTTTTTATTGTTAAATTTGGGTTAAATGTCGGCTAGACCTTCGTGGGCAGACAAATCGAATAAAGAAAAAAAAGGAAAAAAGTAGATACAAGTCGAAATTGAATGATCTTGGACCGAGTGAATAATATAGAAACAATCAGTTAGTAATAAGATAATGTATTTTGAGCGCAGTGAGAAGTAGACACATCTGCCGGCAAGTTGGTCAGAAGAGGATTATTTAGAAAAAGTGATGGCTATACTAATTTGTGTTTTCTCTCTCTGAAGGTTCTGGGGTTTAATTGACCACTATTAGAAAACTGATATTTTATTCGAAATTTTGAAAAAGTTATTAACTGGACATTGCTCTACAGGATGGCACACAGGTACCCGGACTGATGAAAACGGGTATATCTTTAGACATAAGTATCTTTGAAACACGAACATTCGTAGAAATAAAATTTTACGTTTGATTCAGATACTGAAAATTTCAAAGCGATTCCTCAAGTCCAAATGTTGTTATGATTGTCAAAAGATGAACGGCGTAAAGTTTCTTGTGATTTTCATGAGATCAAACAACTTTGACCAGCGATAACTCAGCTCAAAATTGATCAAATAATTTAAAATTTCGCCAGTTTATTGATGAATCATTCGCATTTCCGTCCTCTAAATTTGAGCCCAGTACAAAGCTTTCATCAAATTGTATTCTTTTGCAAACTTGAGTACGGGTAATTATGCGCTACCTTGTAAATATTTGAAATAGATGAAAAAACATTTGATTGAAAATAAGTTAGCAAATAACGATGTCAATTAATCGTCACACCAAAAGACTTAACTTATTTTTTGACTTTTTAACTTGTTTTCTCCTCTCTGATTCATTGACAGCATAATCGCTCAAACTTCATCAGAATTAGTCCCTAAACAGACACACCACAGGTTTGACACAATTATGTTTTCTTCAGAGTTAATATAAAAGTTATATAAATAAACTTTTATTCCAACACTCTAATCAACAAATATGCAAACTCGAGAGATAATTAAACAACCGTTAGAACCTTCGTATTAAAATTGGGAGCGGCAATAGCTGGAGGGCTGTAATTAAGGATTTTCCTCTCCATCTCAAGAAAAATTAAAGCAAAGTGGCTCGTTGCTTCGAAACGGAAACATTGGAAACTGACATCACGGAAACGACTTTATCTTGAGTTGTCAGCACTTTTCCACAACATAATTGCTTGATGAACGCGTTACGATAGTCGGTGCTCCTCCAATAGTACACATAAAAATTACACGAGTATGAGATGAGACCTGGATGGTTTTGAAGTTTCAGTTTATTATTTTGTTGGATTTCTAACCCGGAATAACAGCATACGTCGACACTGTATCTGGATCCAACGGTGGATCCTTCATATTGCTGGTCACTGCAATTAGAGACGCCGACAAAACGGAAGAAATGGAAAACACTGCGGCACCCACTATCACTGTGTTTAAAATCGCCTTCTGAATCACAATGTTCTTCTCCGTCTTGTTTTTGAATGCTGAAAAAATAATCTGTTTTTCTACTGCTGGTGTCAGAAGTACTCTTGTTGATCTAGACCAAAGTTAATCTAATTTTACGCGGGGTTTTCCCGGAATTCTCATTGCTCATTTTGAAGAGGTTTAGGACTACATTGTAGAATCGAAAACCAACTTACTGCAGCAATACACCACCATATAAGTGTATATGTAAACCAGAAGTGTTGCTACAGCTCCCCATAGATTATATTGATTCCAAATATTCGAAACCTCAAAAATCCATCGTTCAAATCAATTGTGAGTTCAAAAGACTTACATTGGGCGGCATTGAATTTGGAAGAATACAAGGATCCACATCTGAATCATCTAGCTGAACCATGCTCACCACCTGAAACGCCATAGTACGTCAAATGGCGTCAATAGGGGTTCAGAACATACCAGAAATATAAATCCGAAAAGGATTCCAGGTGTTACCAAAATCAGCAGATATTTATTTCGGTTCACTGTTCGGTACAAAACAACGAAATTCAAAGCGATAAGTCTGTCAACTGCCAGAGCAAATATCATGTAAACTTCTAATGGTTCTATGAAAACATAAGAAGAGTTGGCCCAAAAGCACTTTCTGGAAAAAATAAAAAAGAGATGGAGCAAATGGATTTGTTCGTACCTCAAAGTAGACTCTGTTAATTTGAGAGTCATCCGAAGGAACGATTGAAACTCATTAAGAAGGCAAAGGGAATCACAACAGGCTAATATTGCTAACATTACTCCTGAAATCATTGATCAGATTCTTCTCTCTGTCGCAAAATTCTTTCTTACCACATTTATGCTGCAAAGTTTTATTTTGAAATGTTGCACAAATAATATTGACATTCCCAAAGATACCAACAATAGCAAAAATAAGAAGACATGTTCGGATGATCTCAAGATCAGTTTCAGTAGGCATTCAGAGCAATATTTTTTCACAATAAAACAGAAAAAAGAGAACTTTTGCCGGCGGCTGTCGTTGCAATATTTATACTGATCATTTTCTACGAAAATCGCAAATTCAATTCATTTCTCTCCTTTTTCTAATCTCATAATTTTCACATAAATTTTTTGGTTCGCTCTATAAAACATAACACAGAAAGAAACACTTATTGTGTTCTTAACATTTTTTAAAGATTGCTTTCTCAAACATCCATCGAGCACCTGGCAAACGAAACAAGTGCTACAAATTTTTGATTTATTTGATTGAAATTTGCAGAAAATTTTCTACAAAATAAATAGTTCAAAAATGAAACAATCAAACTGTGTGAGCAATCGCGACAGACACTGTAGAAGTCGTACTGTTTCTTCTGTGAAATGTTTTGAACATTGGATGAGTTAAATATAGAATCAATGGCATTATGCAAGTTTCGATATCATTTCCAAATGGACGTACCACAATTAAATAGAAGACGTATTCCGGAAGAGTTAAGTAGACTATCTGAAACTAAACGATTTATCTCTCATTGAATGTAAGAGTTCCATTTCAGTCGGTCGAAAATCGGCGACAGCCGACCGACCGCCGACCCAGCCGACCGGCATGCATTCGCGTGTCAACATCCCATAGAAAATGTTGCTGACGCAAACACTGTCTGGCATATCCAAGTTCGAAAATTCGGTCGACGGTCGATCGGTCGGCTGAATTTCCCGACCTATATTTACAGTCTTAATTACAGTCAAAACGGTGTTGTTGACGAATGGGATCATTGAAGCAATTATTGTGATTGTGAGAGACTTTTCAGCTCTCGTGGAACCTTTCTTGGTTTGATGGGACCTGAACAAAACACAACTACAGTACTTATTTATTCTCTACCACAAACATATTGTTATCCATTTTGGTTCCTTTCAATTTAAAGATCATCACTGTAGTACAGGAAAGAGTCAAGATACACATAACGACAGACATCACCAAATGAATGTACGAGTTTCGCCACTGGAAAGAGAACTAATGGGAACTAAGGAAACCTCTCTGGAATAAACCTTTCTGGAATAAATTCACCCCTTCCAATCCTTCAGCATAGTAAATATAAACAGCTCCAAACTTCAGAGGATGTCCCATTGTTCTACAGTATCCCACAGCTGGAATCATAAATGCAGTACACCCAAAAGGGATCAGAAATAATAATGGAAGAAGAACAGCCATAATTTTCGGGCAGATCTGAAAATGAACCTCTGATATTTAGATATATGTAAATGAAAGTCAACTCACATAAGAGTGATCTCGTGGTCGGAGAAGAATGACAACTCGGATGAGAGACAGAAAAAATGGAAGGAGTAAAATACAGTAGTTAAAGAAAAAGGTGAAAAGGAAGATGAGTTTGAAAAAATGATTTGGTTGAGCGGAGGCACACCAGGATGTAAATATTCCAGTTGATGGAAGAGAAATACGGAAATAGTCGAATGTGAAGAACGAAAGACTCTGAAAATAGGCTTCTTCTCACTTAAAAAAGAATATTTGGGCTTACGCAAACAAAATTCAGCAAGATGCAAATGAAAATATGTCGATCTATTGGCGTGGTTTTTGATTTCCAATAAGTGCTCACAATTTTACACATAACCGCAATTGTGGGTGGCATATAAAGTGATGGAAGACATGCTAATACAGTGGAAAATGTGAAGGTGTAATGGAAATTTCGATACTCGACAAGGCCATAGATCGAGCCTTCCATAGCTAGATCGAAATCGAATAAGCAAGGAAGTGTTTCGTTGTTTGCGGGAAGGTAAACAGAACGAGCAATGACTACTTATGTGTGGGGGCAATAATTTCCGAAATCTGATTAGGAGAAGGAGCTGATCTCTGTGAGCATCATAAATCTTTTTCGCATTGGAGCAAAATTGTGGATTTGGGAGTTAAAAAACATTTTTGATTTTCTGGGTGTAAGATAATTGATGGTTACATGTGTGCTCCTATTTTTGCAAGAGGTGTATCCACTTATTCAGAATGGATTTGACTCGTCACTAACAAAAGCTTCGGCCAATTTCAGCAGCCCCGCTCCGCCCGCCCGTGGCCTGTTTGGTTGTAACGCCATAATTAAATAGATCTATGCACGTCAAAAATGTGAGAGACATTGAGTGTTAGTCTGTAATTTTACCTTTGCTCTGTACAAAGTATGATTTTTTGAATGGACTTTTTCTGAAAAATCACAAAAAGTTTTGTTATTCTGCTCAACCTGCCTATGGGCACCTTATATTATCCGTTTTGTGCTAGTCCGGAAAAGGGACATTTTTTGATACCAATATCTAAGGAAAAGCGAAGGGGCACTTCGGGTACTTCCCTTGTAAGTACTTGAGAAAAGAGAATTTGTAGCCTACGGAAATCTGATCTACGACTCGACCAAGAAAACAAAGAACGAGTTTGTGTCTTTGAGAAACTTGAAAAAAATGTTAGGAGCGTGGAGAAAATATGGGTCCCAACACAGTGACACGATATATTGAAAAAGAACTCGAAAAATTTTAACAGTCTGAACCACACATCTGACTCGCGCGATTATGTACAGTATAACTTTCTTGAAAGTTGGGGTAAGGGAAAAATAATTTTCTCGAAATTCCGTTCATAAAGCCACTCGAGGAGTTGAGCTTGTGGGCCCACAGCTGGAGTTGCTATTACCTGAACTACGGGGGCACAATCTAAGGCGGTCGAAGGGTAGGATGCGTAAAAGCGGTACGACAGCAACTCTCAGTGTGAACACTAAACACTGTACACCATCACGTCGTGAGCATTTTTCTTGGAACTCTTTGTTTCAGAACATTAAGAATCTCGAATTCCAAAGATATCGACGGCTAACAGTAACAGTAAGAACAGTAATTCCATAAGGAATATCAGTCCTACTGTAAAAAAAACTAAAAACAAAAATACACATGAATCCCGGAGGATTCTACTTGTCTACTGAAGCCATAAACAACGAAACATAATTCCATTTCATTCCAATCCATTACCATGTTCTCTGTACAATGAATCTTCTTAAAATCACTGAAATTGTATGCGGATCCATTTCTGCGATTGTCAATAGCTTTCTTGCGTATTTGATTCTCACCAGGTCTCCAAAAGAAATGGGACCTTACAAATGGTTACTGTTGTATACAACTGTCTTTGAGATGATATACACTTTTGTTAACTTTCTCGGTGGTCCAGTAAGTTTTTAAAAAATGAATCGAAATAGTCTATCGGTTTCAGTCAGTTCATACTTTTGGGTCTGCGTTCATTGCCTTTCTGGATACAAAAACGTCTTATTTCGCTAGAGAAATCGATGAAATATTTGTTTGTAGGTCTCCAAAATGTTTTCTTACAATGGAACTATTAGGTTGGCGGGAAAGTCTTTGTCACTCTGTTTGTTTAATCACTGTTCTCGTATATGGAGGCTGTGTATGATATCGACTCTAGTGAATAACAAGGTGATAAGAACCTTCCATATAAACAAGTCCCCATCTCCTTCCCTGCTCCTCATCTGTAATTGAAACGATATGTTTGTTCCCACTGCTATTCACATCAGACATGTTTTGATTTACCTCTTCCTATCTCACACCACGATGAAGGATTCGGAAACTTTCTTGAAGAATGTGTACAACACACATGCCCCTCACTACAATACTATTCGCAATTGGTTCCATCGTTTCGAAAAAGATGACTTCTCGCTCGATGAAAAGGATCGCTCTGGGAGACCCCGTGAGTTGGATTTGGACAAGCTGAAGCACGCATTGCAATCGGATCCATTTCAATCTAGCCGTGAACTAGCTGTCACATTCGGAGTTCACCATAGCACAGTCCTTGAAGGTTTGAAGTCTCTTGGAATGAGAAAACTTTTTGGTCGATTCATACCTCATCACCTGACTCAAGCCAACCTTGACCGCCGAGTCGACGATTCGATTACTCTTCTCACTCTCCACGCGGGCGATCGATGGCTGGACCGGCTAATAACCGGAGAGAAGAAGTGGGTCTTCTACGATAATCACCACAGGAAATCCCAGTGGGTTGAAGAAGGAGAGAGCCCACAGGATGTCCCAAAACCCGACCTTCATCCGAAAAAAGTTATGCTCTCTGTGTGGTGGGGAGTGGACGGCCCCATCTACTGGGAACTTCTGCCCGAGGGCAAAACAATAACTGGAGACCTCTACACTACTCAACTACGAAACCTCAAGAAAGCAGTCGACTGTTCGGCCCTGAAAGACAAGAAAGTGTACTATCAACATGATAACGCTCGCCCACATGTTTCGAAACAAGTGAAGCAGGAGCTGATGGGATATGGATGGAATGTTCTCCCTCACCCCCCGTATTCTCCTGATCTTGCTCCTTCCGACTATTGGTTATTTGGCGATATGACACGTGCCTTCGAAGGAAGAAGCTTCAATTCCCGTGGAGCGGTCGAAGCGGCACTCAAACAATACTTTGCCTCACGCCCGGCTGGATTCTACCGCAATGGAATCCATAAATTGAGGGAACGTTGGAGACATGTTGTTGATAATGATGGACAATATAATTAATTATTCGGTTATTTTTTCTTTGAGAAATAAACTATTGAAAAAGTGACAAAGACTTTCCCGCCAACCTAATATAATTCCAGATGCTTACTGTTTCTGCTTCGGTTTTTCAATGTCAATGTTTAGCGCTCATTTCATTTACAGATATGGTGCAGTCGATGAGTGAATACTGTAGCTACAAGTCAGAACTCACACTAACTTTCAGATTATTTTATCACAAGTACATGCGTGGGCCCCGAAAAATTGCCCTTTTCATTTTCCCATTAATTTCGGGAAGTTTGTGGGGCCTGGTGTGCTGGATATTTCTAGGAGAGAAACCAGAAATATCAGAATATTTGAGGTGATTTTAGTTAGGCGACTGTAATTTTTTAGTTTAGCGACTGTAATTTCAACGGCATTCAGGCAAACAATGATGGATAATTATGATCTAAACATTGATGAGTGCGTATATGTGAGTGCCCGATTTTGGCTCACCGATTACAGTGGAGGTCTATACCCAGACATTTCTTCGTTCCTTGCAATTTTTTTGGTCTCGATAATTCTGGTATTAAAACATTTTTATCTTGAAACTTCAAATTCTTATAGATTACTTCTCTATCTTGTATAATTTATTTTGGTGTCAGATGCTATCGATGGGTTACAGAAATTATCGAAAATTCAAAATCCCTGTCTCCAGTGTGTAAATCCCTTCAGACTCAACTATTCCATTCACTTCTGGTTCAATCGACTCTTCCTCTCATTCTAATGTACCTTCCAACTGGCATCGTATTCATTTTCACAATGCTGAACATTGAATTAAACATCAATTTTGGATTCATTGGTTACACTATTGCCATTTATCCAGCGATCGATCCATTTCCAACCATTTTCATAATCAAGAAGTACAGAGAAAGATGCAGCAAAATTCTTCGAAGTATTCTAATTTTTGTTGGGAACAATAACAAACCAATTTCTCAAAATACCGTTTTTGTAACCCCAGTGTCTGTAAATCCAGTTAATTATGCCAGTTGCTAAACAATAAAAATGATCAAGTATCATTGATGACCTCACAATCAGTACAAAACTACGTTTCTGTTCGTGCAATTTCAGACTTCAATTCGAAGCAAAAATAGTTATGAAAACATCAAATGATGATCTCAACTTTCTGTTCTATTGTTCACTGATAAAAGTTACTACAATCCGATTGGATTAAGTTTCATTCTTTTCAAAAAACTAATACCTCAAATGCTGGGCATTGTTCCCAAAAGAGTATTTCGAAAAAGTGACATATTTCGTGATTTTAATATCTTGATACCCTCCCGACGTTTGATCATTTTCGAATCTTCAACTTGTTTGTAATTCATTCTAGTTTTAATGCAAACGTTTTTTTTGAATTACGGTCCCATTTGCTGATCTATAAATACTCGAATAGAAGGTCACCCTAAACTTTGAGCTTAGTTATCTCGGTTCCTGTAAGAGATATAAAAATATGTCAATTGGTTAAATTTTTTTCATAATATCACCAACATTTTATCAGTTGACGCATTTTCGATATCTTTTATAGACATTGAAATAATTGAGCTCAACGTTCAAGTGTAGGGTTGCCTAGAGTGTTTAGAGTGCTTACGGTATATCATAAGTTGACATTTAAATTTCCTTTTGAACTTCAGATTACTGAGAATAATGTCTGTTTAGTTTCGTTTGATCTTAATTTTGTTGGTGTAGACAAAGTTATAAAACTATCAAAACACTTTGAATAGTGGACTTCTTTGAGAGAACTTCACCAGTTTTTTATTTTAAAAAGGCAATTTTTGAAGATGGTTAAACTAACAACGGGAACGTTTTTAAAAAATGCTTTGGGAATTCGCTGAAAATTTCAGTACCTATAGTTTGACACCTCCTCTACACGATGACGAAAAAATCTAGGTCCCATTCCCATCAGAAAGCTGAAAATTTTCGTCTGAAAGTTTCAGCCCGATTTTGGCGCGCCTTTCCCTTCTCTCCTATACGCCCTCCGCGTGAGAAGAAAATGTCGGCTTTGTGGTGTTGTGGTAAGAGGGTGACTCCACAGGTCCTGGGCGATGATGCGCATACCCGATCCACATGCGATCCTCTAGAAGTCCGTTTGACACATATTGCGAACAACGAGCTGCGATGAGTCTCATATGTGTGCGATGCGGGAGAGGCTGAATCGAGTGTTCCGAATGCGCGCGTATCCTAGATGGATTCTGGGTGGGTGGGCGATGTGTGCGATATGGGTCTGATACGGAAGGCCGGGCTCAGTATCCAAGGGTACATCGGAAAAGGGTACATCGAGTTCTTAGGGTACATCTGGGAGGTAGGTTCAAGGGGTACATCTGGCGTTGGTTCTGAGGGTACATCGGAGAAAGGATCCCAGGGTACATCGACAAGTTCTTAGGGTACATCAATTAAAAATTTTGTAGTTTTTAACTGGAAGATATTTTGGTATAAACTACACTATTTTGCTTGTTTTTTTTTCGATTTGTTTGAAAAAGTACAGTTTTTCATAGTTTTATTGATTGACCAGCAAGCTGGTGAGCCTTCGGCGCGATTCCATCTATTTTTTCAAATCTTCGTTTCTCACTTTTTCTAAATAAGAGGGTCACGTAAATATATACGACGGAAACCACTGAAATCAATGACCTGGCCTAAAAATTGAAAGCTTCAGACAAAATTACTCTATTTTTGAGCTCTTCACTAATTTGGGAAGACAAAAAATGAGATTTTTCATAGTTTTGCTGTCTAAAATCGGGATTTCTGCATTCTCGTCAAGACTCTCAAGCTCTCATCGGTTTTCGTTTCGTCTCCACAGAATTCGAAACCTACAGAAAAATAAAACAGAGAGACAACTAAGAATACGGGGAGTTCAGTCCTAATTTTCAGGAGTTTCAACTAGCCAATACTCGTTTACATGTCTTGTCTTGGAAAACCTTCCGGAAATTGTTGCTAATTCCATCTTCAAACTTTCTTCCTGCTTTAGAAACCACCGATGTACGGGTCGCGGTGGGCAAGGTGAAAATCGGTGAAGTAGTCTAGGGGTAGCGTACGTGCACGACAAACTGAGTTCAAACCCTACCCCATCCACATTCTTTGTTTCTGTGAAATTGAAAACAAACTTCGTTTTGGAATCTTTTTAGTGATTTTATAGATACATGTTTCCAAATAAAAATCCGAAAAGTTTCCGAGAGCTTGAATTTTTTAATTCATGATGTTTCCTGTTCTGGAACATTTGAAGAGAGTTTTTGGTTGAAAGTTACTCAAATCGTTTTGATAAAAATCGAATTTTCCACCTTTTTTGTACAGCGAATTTCAGTATGATAAGCTCCAGGAAAACAAGCTATAATAAATGAATCAATCAAAAAAAAATATGAAAAAACTGTACTTTTTCAAACAAATCGACAAAAAAAAACAAATAAAATAGTGCAGTTTATACCAAAATATCTTCCAGTTGAAAACTACAAAATTTTTAACTGATGTACCCTAAGAACTTGTCGATGTACCCTGGGATCCTTTCTCCGATGTACCCTCAGAACCAACGCCAGATGTACCCCTTGAACCTACCTCCCAGATGTACCCTAAGAACTGATGTACCCTCTGATCCAATGTACCCTAAGAACTCGATGTACCCTCGATGTACCCTTTTCTGATGTACCCTTGGATACTGGGCCGGAAGGCCGACTACAACACTCCGAAATCCCGGATGCGCCCATTGTTTACCGTAAATCCACACCGGCAACTTTGACAATTTTTCGTTTTGAAAAATTTGCAAAAAATAGTGGGACCGCATGGATTGATTGTTTCCGAAAATTTTCGAAAAAAAATTTATTTTTGAAATTGTTGGAAAACTTATTCAGATGATAGAAAAATGTTCAAAAATGAGTTTCACATTTGAAAAACTCATGGAAAACGACTTTTAAAGCTCGAAAAATGCGCAGTTTTGGCCAAAATTTAGTACTGAAATCACTTTCAGAGCCCATATTTTGTTCCCTATTGGGAATGAGACCGAGATATTGCCGAAGCCGTTTTTAGCATTTTCGAAAGTACCTTTGCACAAATTTTGAGCAAATTCCCAAAGCCTTTTTTAAATCGTTCCCTTGAAAAAAGAAAAAAAAAGAAAAAAAAATCTAATGGCGAGCCATGTATTTCAGGGCTTAATGAATACGTCACTCCTGAGAATTTTAGTATGTTTATGAATTTATTTTCAACCAAAGACGCTCGAATTTATTTTCAACCAAAGAATACCCCCATTTTGTTCGAAAATTCTATTCATTCCTAATGGAGCTCTTCATCCAAAAATCAAAATAATCATACATCAAAAAATTGTCTAGTAAACATTCTCCAGACGTAATCAAAATCATAAAAGAAGTAATTTTATTTTTGTATTGCTTAAAATCAAGCTTCTTAGTTTTCAAGAAAGCTTGTTTTGCTACCGGGTTCAAAACTTCAAGGATCAATTTCGCAGTTTTGCTTTTCCCCTTTTCAAATGAGCCACTTGATCTACAATTGGTTTTGATTTTGAAATGAGTCAGTTTCAAAACAAAACCTGACAAATCATTTTTCCAAAAAACATGCGATTAGATGATTCCAACTAACGAGCATCTTACCCAACAGGAGAGTTGTTTTCTAATCATTTTGAATTTCCGTTTAGCTTGCTCCTCCTCCCATTTATTATTCCTTATTTTTCAGTCTTGCAGAGATGCCAACCGTCGGATGGGTTCGTCTGGAAGAGATCACACAAATGACGTGTGGAATCATTTCGGTCCATACAAATGCTCTTCTGATGTACTTGATCATTGCAAAGTCTCCTCCGAAACTTGGCTCATATAAGTGGTTGATGCTCTACACATCTTCTTTCGAGTTCTTCTACGCGTTTGTGAACTTGTTTGCTGGACCGGTGAGTTCGAAATTGGCTTCAGATAGAAAATGCAACGTTTAAGTCGGTCCACACCTATGGATCTGCTTTCATCGTTTTCCAAGACATGCGGAACTTTTTGTTCAGCCATCAAGTGGCTCAATTTCTAGTTTGTAAGTTTCGCGTCTCAAAAATTGTAGATCTCTGTCATCTCCAGGCCTATACTGTTCTTGCTTTGGTTTCTCGATGGCAGTGTTTGGAGGGCACTTCATTTATCGGTATGGAGCAATTGACACGTAAGATCTTTCCAAATCACCTGAATCGCCAATTCTCCCAATTTCAGAGTGTTCCGAGAGAAGTACTTGGCTGGTGCAAAGCAAGTTCTCCTGTACGTATTCCCGTTCTTTTATGGGATTCTATGGGGAATCATTTGTTGGGTGTACTATGGTGAGACATCGGAAAGGACAGAGTATTTGAGGTATAGGTTAGGTTGACTGATTCATTGAAAGAGTTCGAATTCAGGGATACAATGCTGGAGAACTACCGCTTGAATATCTCAGACTGCGCTTACATAAGTGCACACTTCTGGCCATTTGATGAACATCGAAACGTTTATCCAGATTCTGACTCATTTTTGGGAATCGCGATCATGTGGGGGATTCTGGTAAGCTCACTGTATTAAGAATCAGTTTTTGGAAGTTTGTTTTTAGGGTTCATCCGCAATCAGTGTGATATATTTCGGGCTTGCTTGTTATCGTTGGTTGACTAAGAAGCTTGGCGGAATGGAATCCGTTTCGGAATCCATGAAATCTCTTCAAAAGCAATTGTTCAATGCCCTACTCATTCAATCAGCCATTCCTTTGTTCCTTATGTATCTTCCAGCTGGAATGGTTTTCATTTTTCCAATGTTAAACACTGAAATCAATTTGAAATATCCATTCATTGGTTTAACTATTGCTGTCTATCCTGCAATTGATCCTCTTCCAACCATGATTATTATTAGAAGCTACAGAAGAGGATGTTGGGAACTTTTCCGAGCGATAACTTGTCGAAAAAACCCGAGAATTGATATCCATCACTCAAATTTGCCATCTACAACCGCTGCAGGAACCCCGAAGGCTGATAACATCAGCTCCTATCTGACCAACTGATTTTTAAATTTAATTTGTCATTTTCATAAGCAATAAATCATTTAATCTGAATTTTCGTAATTTCTGGTTGAAGATTAGGGAAAATGTTTTCTAGACAGGGAAGTGCTATTCACCAGGATAACTGTTATTACAGGTAAACTTTGTTGTCCAAGTGAAATTCTTGTTAGGGGACCAAGAACTGAAAACAATCAACAATCAGTCAAGAACTGAATATCAGATCCTCATATTATTATAAGAATTTTAGTTCCGCTTCGTGAAAATCCAACGTCTGTAATTTTACAGCTTATTCATCACGCAAGTATATTGTTCAAATTTCGCCTAGGTTCCCATAATTCTTCCCATCCTCTCAATATTGCGGGTGTCCCACTTACTCCCTCCTCCTCAATCCGGGACTTGGGACTCATTACTGATTCCTCTCTCAAATTCTCTGCTCACATCAACAAAATCACATCTCTAGCTCTTCTCCGTTCCAAACAACTCTTAAAGTCATTTAGATCTAAATCTCCTGAATTCTACATTCATCTTTTCAAATGTTATGTTCTCCCGATTCTTGAATACTGTTCTGTAGTTTATTCCCCTCCGCCTTCTTCTCGCCTTGCTCTAAAACTAGAATCTCCCTTAAGATTTTTCTCTAAGTGTATTTTCCAGCGTTGTAATATCCAATACAGTTTCTATTCTGATCGTCTCTCTATCCTCAATATGTTCTCCATTCGTCATCGTAGGCTAAAAGCTCAAAAATTCTTCTCTACAAATTTTTAAATGGCTCCGCCTACTTTCCTAACCTAAATGCACATGTCAAATACTCCTCCTCCCCTCGTCGCCCTATGAACTTAATTAATGTTCAGCCCTACTCCTCTGACTATTTTTCTTCAATTGTTCCCCTGTGGAACGCCATCACTTCCCAAGTTACCCGATTTCTCCTACCTTCCGAGTTTGAATCCTTAATTTCGTCCAGTATTACCCGTTTTTGATATATTTGCGCCCTATTTTTTATTTCTTTTTTTTCTTTTCTCTACCGGTTATATCTTTTCCTGTGTCAAATATCTAATTATCCCGCTTCCCCTCCCCGGAGGGCGTGGTCTGTAAATTTTGGCTTAAAACTAGACCACACTTCCCAAGAATTTACTGCTGATGGTAACGGGATACAGTACCGGCCAATAAGACATTCAAAAACTCTTTTTTCAGTTGACTTTTGGCGATTTTGAACATTTTCAGGACTCGGAAGCATGGATTTCATGTTTCCGATCATTTTGAAATTTCAGGAGGGTGTGAAACAAAAATTGATTATAAACCTTGCATTCACAGAATTCTTTGAAAATTATTATTTTTGTTTTCCGATTTCTGACAGACGATTTTTTTTAATATTTATTTTCCGATTTCTGACAGACGTCTGTTTTCCTGTTTTCAGTACAAAAAAAGGATCGAACAGGAAAGCCTCACAAAAAACGGCAAATATCTGAAAACGAGGAATTTTTTAAAAAAATTCCGGAAATACAAAGGTTTTATTCTAGGCCTGTTTTATACCCTCTAAAATTTTCAAAGTGATAGGAAGCTTGACAGTCGAACCCCAGACTCCTAAAAAAGGTCGAAATGGCCGAAAGAAAACTGAAAAATACGTTTTTGTGTATATTATTGACCGGTACTGCATTTTGAAAGACTGTGTTCTTTTTTGAATTGACCTTATGTTTCACTTCAATCGATTTTCAAAGAACTGTTATCTTTCTGTTTTCTATAAATTACATATTTCTAGGTAAAAGTTTCCTCTGTGGAATACAGTGATCGCTTCAAACTGTTGTCTACTGACCCCACAACTTCCTAGAATTACTGTTAGCCCTATAAGGAATTGTACGTAGTGTTTTTCATGACAATCTTTAATCGTTTCCCCTCATATATAAGAATTAACAATTTTTCTTTTTTTCAGTTTCCTCGTTTTTGAAATGTTGACAGAAGAGTGGTATGAGCTCGAGGGATGGACCCAGGACATCTGTGGTATCATTTCAATCGTGAACAACTTATTCTTGATGTATCTGATTCTAATAAAGTCTCCAGTTGCACTCGGATCATATAAATGGTTGATGATGTTCACTACTTGCTTCGAGTTGGCTTACGCCCTTGTCAACTTGATTGCTGGATCTGTAAGTTCTGAAAGTAACATCTAGGATATTTTGGTTTTCGGAACCTTGTCATAAGTTTGTCGGAGTTTGGTCGGCTTCAGTAGCGGTATAATCCGAAAAATCTTATAACTGGGTTTGTTTTTTTTTTTTCAAAAGTGTCTGACACTATGATCAGGTGATATTTTAGTCCGTCCGTACTTTTGGCTCTGCTTGGATCGTCTTCCAAAAGTCTCGATATCGTCATGAAATCACACTATTCCTCATCGGTACCTTTTTTATATAAATCAAAGTTGAAGTTTCAATATTTAGTAGTTTACTGCGCCTGTTTCGGATTTTCTCTTGCGATCATCGCTTGCCATTTCGTTTTTCGATACGGATCCGTGGAGCTGTGAGTTCCTTTTTTTACCTCATGTTCCAAGATTTCCATTTCAGTGAGTTCCGCAATAAGTACCTATCGGGCTACAAACAAATCTTCCTCTATGTTTTTCCTTTTTTCATCAGCATTGTTTGGGGTATCATTTGTTGGGTATACTGTGGAGAGACTCCCCAGAGAACTGATTATTTACGGTAGGCAGATTGACGTAATGTCTGTTATTGAAAACAAAGACCATTATAGGAATAAAATGATGGACAACTATCACCTGAAAATTGAAGATGTTGGATACGTCAGCTCATATTATTGGCCTGTGGATGAAAATGGTCAGGTACATCCCGATTTCGATTCCTTTTTTGGAACTTCTCTGATGTGGGTCATTGTGGTACGTTGTTATCTAACAAGAAGAGAATTATATCTCCAACTCTTCAGGGAATATCTGTTATGAGTGTTTTATACTTTGGAATCGGATGTTACACATGGATTAGCAAGAAGCTGGAGTTCATGAGTTCGCAATCAGTTGCTATGAAATCACTTCAAAAACAACTATTCAATGCTCTAGTAGTCCAATCGGCCATCCCATTTATTCTAATGTATGTCCCTATTGGAATGGCTTTCGTTTTCCCAATGCTCAATATTGAGCTAAATTTGAAATATCCGTTCATCTCTCTAACCGTTGCCATATACCCAGCAATTGACCCACTTCCATCAATTCTAATTATTGCTAGTTATCGCAAAGCTTGTATTGATATGATCAGAAGTTTGAAATGTTGGGGAGACAAGGGAAAAGTGACTGCAAATAACACAAGAGTCGATTCAATTGCCATGTTTACTATTAAATGAATTTGTTCAAATTTTTTCTTTTTCATGCGATAAAAATTAATACTATAAAAATAGAAAGTCGACTCCAGAAATTATAACATTGCTGCAGAAGTTGGGGGTCTCTCACAACACTCGAGTAACAGTTGAAACTAAAAAATCAGACCACCTTTATGGAAAAAACCTTAAAACAAACCTTTGCGACCACTAGTCGATTTTGATGCAACAGAACTTGTGCTCATTTTTGGAACCATCCTCTTTTTACGGAATAATGGATGAGTGAAAAAGAGAACCCAAGGCATCATAACAGTTTCAAAGTCATTTCCAATGGGATGTAGGATCAGAGAAGCAAACCAATTACTACGACTCCATAGGAATGTCGCCTTTAACGAGTTAGTTTATGATCAGTACAAGAACATTTTGACTCACTGAGACAATTGAGTTGGTGATGAATGGAACCATACCCGAAAGCATTGTCAGTGAAAGAGATAACTCTATTTTCCTTCTTAATTCTTTAGTTCGAGCAGATGTGTTACTTGGTACAGTGATTCTAAGTTGTAAAAGCATTAAAACAGATATAATAGAACCAGAAAGTAGCATGAAACAAGAGAATGAGAAGTGAATTAATGTATTAGTGTGATAGTATTCGTCTCCTTCATAAATCATAATAGACCCAAATTCGAATGGTGGACCCAGTTGCCTACAGTAACCAAAAACGTGGAAATTCAAAAAAATCAAAGCAGCTGGAGCTAATAACAGAAATGGCATAACAAACCATCGCATGACCAAATCAGAATACTAAAAAAATACTTTAGATATCAGATCCCTGAAAATATCACATCTTACATGTCGGCAGTTACGTGGCGATATCATTATAGTCAATCGAACCGTACAAACTAATAATGGGCAGGCGATGGTAAGATAATTTGTCGCATAACTGTATATTATGAGAATACCAAACCATCTATTTGGACGAACACTTGCACAAAAAGATGTGATCAGTCCAGATGATGGGAGATTGAACCGGAGGTAATCTCCGATGAAAAACATGGAGTTCTGAAATTAAATTTGAAACAATGCAAAGCAATTCATGAAAACTCACAAACAGAAAATAGAGCATGATCAATGTGAAAATATCGCTATCCATAGATGCTGCGTTATCATTCTTTTTTGCATTTCGGTACATGACCAGTATAGTGATCATAATTCCTAAAGTTGGTGTAATATAAATTAACGGGATGAATGCTTGAAGTGTAGAGAAATCCATTTCAGGAGTGTAGTCAATACAGGCAGGAATACCATGGATAGACCCATTTGAAGGGAGGATATTATTCATTTTATATTGGTAGCTATCGGTTTCTCGAATATCAAAAAACGGAACACACCGGTGTTAGGTGTTCCCTATAAAGACACTTCTGGACGTATTTTTATAACAGCATTTTTCTTTCAGACACGACCACCTGCAATATTAGATTATGATTTTCTTTCTTCCTGATTTTTTAAAGCACATGACTCGCCGAAAACAATTCTGGCGTGTGCTCTGATTTCCAGATATGTGAACGTCTGAACATAAGAGAATTCTCCAATAAATCCAAGGTTCTGCATGGTTCTTTGGTGAACAATTTTAAGAGAAAAACTGTGAAACAAAATATCTCTGAAAATTGAAACCGACAAAAGCGGATAAATAAAAGCACCCGACGACTTGAGTTTTGATGTTTATTATGAGTATATTAAAAACCGAAATTTAAAGTTTTTCATTAATACCATGTGATAGAGGTGGAGATTACAGATTAATCGACACATAAATATACAGTTTGAACAAATATAAATCATTATCATCATCATTCATTACTAATAACAAACACCAAATTTTGTATGAGAGGATGTGTGTCGCGTGACTTTTGACATACTCAACGTTAACCGATTGAGCTGGAGTTTAGATGGATGAATCGGAAATTTTTATGAGATGATGTCCGACCCATTCTATTTTCAAAATTTTGTTTCTGACGTCTTCTGGAGACTTTTTTCTTTTTTTCCAGTACAAATCTAGAAAATTATTGAAGTAATTTTCACGTCATTTCCGTATAACCGCCCATTATTTTCTCACCCACGTTAGCTTTGAAAAAGAAGAAAAGTTTGGAAAAGTACTTATCAGTATGGGTTTTGAAGTTTGAAGGAAAAGGACTGGAATAGCTGGAAAATGAGAATGATGAAGAAAACGTGCTTTCAGGATTCTTTGAATTTTCTAGACTTTGAATTTGAACCTTAATTTCTCTGAATTTACGAATTTGGCAAAATATAAATTGTTGAGATTATGCATTTAAACAATGTGGATTTTAAAAATTTCGGTTTTTCTAAAATCCGGTCTTCGAATTTCAAAAATATGAGTGTTTTCGAACTTCCGAATTTCTGACTTTGAAAATGCAAAAAATTTTGGAGCTAGAAGAAATTCTCAAACCTTAAACTTTGGAAAAACAGAAATTTCAGAATTTAACAGTTATAGAAATATGGTTTTAAGAGTATTCAAATTCAGAAAATCTAATTCATGAATCCCTAAGTTTCTGGATTTCCGACTTTCCAAATTTCTAATTTCGAATTTCAGGCATTTCTGATTATTCGAATTTCTCTGTTTCTATGATTTTTTACAATTCTTGTTACTGCAAACTTTAGAATGTCTGAATTTTCGTAACTTTGAATTTTGTTATCGAAATTCCGAATTCCGTAGTTCGATACTACAAAATTCGAATTTTTTTACAATTCTGAAGTTCTGAATTTCCGGGCTTCAGACTTTTCGATTTGAAGAAATTTCAGAATTATTGAACCATCAAATTACATTTCCATTTCCGAAACTACATTTCCGAAATGAAGAATATGAGAATATCAGTTTGAAATTTGAAAAAATGAGGGTGAGAATTGGAAGGTTCAGAAGTTTTCTTTCGGATGTTGTTTTTGTTTCATCATAGTTCCATAGCTTATATTTCAAAAGAGCCAAAACCTTTTCCGATTGATTCCGGGTATTGTAAGCGGGAGCCAAACGATTTAGCCCCGAAGGGGCGTGAACCGTCTGGTGTTTTAAATAAATACACATAAATTAACATAAATATTTTAAAATCAGATGAACCGTAGTTTCGAAACAAATGAAGTTAGATGACTGGAAAGAATTAAAAAGAAAAAAATTAGTGTCAAAACATTTGCGACGAACTTCTTGGAGTATTGTTATTGCTGTTCCGAATGTTGGATCCCTGATTCTGAATAATTCTTGGAGCCTTTTTCCTTCGAAACAACGGATGAGTGAAAAAGAGAACCCATGGCAGCATTATAGTTTCGTAATCATTTCCAATAACTCGAAGGAACAATACATAACCCCAGTTTGGACGGTCCAAGAGGAATGTGAACTGAAATTAAAGGATTTTGAAATTTTGATCTCTCGAAAAATGAAACACTCACCGAGACAATAGAATTGGTGATAAATGGAACAATACAAGAAGCCATGGTGAGAGTGAGAGACAGCTCTGCTTTTTTGCTTAATTCTCTGGTTCGGTTCGATGTGTTGTTATAAGACGTTTTTCGAATTTTAAAAAACATAAAAACACCCATAAGAACATGACTGATGAAAGTGATATAAGAAAATGATATGTGAATAATAACATTGATTCTCGTATAGAATTCGCCTTCAGAAATAACTATTGCACCTGTATGAAACGGTGGACCCATCTGCCTACAGTAACCGACTGCAGGGATGTTTCGGAGGGTCAAAGTTATTGGGATTGCGATAATGAATGGGAACACGAATCTTCGCATTAAAATTTTACAATACTGAAACTAGAAATTTGAGAAAATTAAAAATAAATAATGATGTTTTACCTTCACATGGTTATGGGGAGATAGAATCATTATTAATCTAATTAGGCTTGTCAGAAATGGACAAGAAATCGTTCCATAGTCTCCAGAATATGCGAAAATAATAATTAAGGTGTACCACCAATTAGGTTCTGTTTTGGCGCAAAGAGAAGTCACAAGGCCAGATGATGGGAGATTGAGACGGATGTAATCACCGATGAAAAATGTCGCATTCTGGAAATTGAAGGGTTAGGAGGATTACGGTAGGAATACCTTATATTTTTCGACTTATCTGATCAAACAGACTATCAACTAAAAATCTCAACTGTTATCTGTGTTATCTCAGCGGTGAGAGAAACCGTAAAACCTGTATTACAAGGACCTTCTAACTTCTTACTTTGAGCCAATTTATCTGGCTTCCTGTAAGAAATATCAAAAAGTGGTTAACTGATAAAACGTTTATCATAATATCATAAGCATTTTATCATTTGACATATTTCTGATATGTTGCATAGGAGCCAACAAAAATCAGCTCACATTTGATGGAGTGGCGCCTTTTACTACAGGTTTAAAAAAGGTTTATCAAAAAACTGTTTACTGCATCTTTGTCACATCATCACAATGAAGATATCAGTGAACAGTTTGTGGTATTATTTACAGATCGTTTTCCTAGAAGTTTCTTGATGGTGCCTGTCAATTAGAGGGATGAAAAAGGCAGGGCGCTTAACTAAAGATCCTTACGAAAAAAACCAGTAAATCGTTTGTATTAGAAACTTACAAAAAAGAAATAAAACATGATCATAATGAATATATTTGTATCCATATAAGCCGTATTCATCATCATTTTCGCATAGTGATGTTTTACCAAAATGACCACCATAATCACTGCGGTTGGACTGATATATAAAATCGGAATGAATGCTTGTAAAACGCTATAATCGATAACTGGAAAATAATTGATATATTCTGGAATTCCATGTATCGATCCGTTCGCAGGGACCGAAGCCATGCTCATTTGGATTTTGAATTTTTCAGAACTGAAAAAAAAGTTGTAAAGTTCAAAACACTTTGACAAATGTGAGAAGTTTGGTGTCGACAAGATTGCAAATCAGTATGTTTAATCTATAGAAAAAGTTTTTCTAAGCATGATTTCTTGATCTACTAAAGACTTTGTTTTTATCAAAAAAAGAATATTCTGAAAATAGGTAGATAACAACAAACTATGTATACATATTTGAAGTTCTCTTTCTAAAAAAATACATCAGAGATCCGCATAACGGAGTTGTAACAAGAAGAATCTTTGAATAACAAAATCTGACTAAATAAAAATAAGAATCAAGTTTTCTAGACATCAATTACGATGGAATTCGAGAAAATGACAAGGTTGAAACCGTAATTAATCGCCTACAGCTGTCTGAAGAATTGATAATCTCCTGGGGAGAAAGTCAGAAACGGCACGTCCTTGATGATCAATTCTTATCACAATCGACAATGATTATTCATTCTGATTGCACTTTCAGAAATCAAATTGCGCCTTTAAAAAGAGTTACTCACTAGCTTTGTCTGAAAAAAAAGCTTGTGGTAACTCAATTTGTTTCTAATTTCCGCATAGTCAAGTTTGCAATATATTGTGGGATCGAGCAGAGCAAGTTACTATGTAGACGTTTAGGTTTCAAGAAAATTCAATTAACTTTGGCAGAGTTAGGTCAAAGAAACGGGATGATTCTGGAATGAAGCGATTCTGATGAGAAAAACTAGAATCGATCCTGCATCTACCCTAAAACCTGTAATAGAGGGGCTCTTACACTGCCAAGTTTGAGCCGATTTTTCTCGATTTCTATTCAAGATATCAAAAAGATATCAACTGACAAAACACTTCTGAGATCATGATAAACTGTTTATCAGTTCTTAACTTTTTATATGTTTGACAGGAGCCGAGATAAATAGGCTCAAATTTGACAGTGTGAGGGGCCATTCTATTACAGGGTTTATGATATTTTTCAAAAACCGATTTCCGAGCTAAAAAAAATATGCGACAACTGAAAAAGTGAAATTTCGAAAAACTGAGCTAGATCTATAGAAAACAACTTACGATGATTATATGTTTGAGTTTTTCGGTTTAGAGAAATTCGAACTAAAAAGGTTATAAGAAAAGATTGTTGATATATGAAGAAGAATTGGGATCAATTTTAAAAACTCCCGAGAAAAAATCCTGAGATCCACTGGGTGCCTTGCATAAAAACACATACATTTATTTTATCAAAATAAAGGAACAAATATTAAGTTTTGACACAAAGATTGGCAGTTTAACAAATATCCAACAAATAGGTTCAAAATTCTGGCTGTTCTACAAATTTAGGTTCCGTTTTCGTTATCGGTGAGCAATCGCACGTTTCTGATGTTGACACCTTCACACACTTTCGAAAGATCAACTTGTCACTGCGGTAGCGTCTGGAATAAAAGTCAGAATTAGATTGAAAGAAAAACTTTACATAGAAAACATGAAATTGTGTTGTAAGCCAATAGTAAGACTAGCCGGGCTGGAATTGACTGAATTTATTTTCAAAATGTTTATCGGAGATTTTTTATATCAGAAAAAATATTGAGAAAAAATGAAACTTTGAATATTTTTTTTTTTGAGTATGTTTACTTACCATAAAACCTGTAATAGAAGGGTCCTGGGTTTGAGTTAAGTTTTCTTGGCTCCTATGCAAGTGGTAAAAAATGAGTCAACTTCTGATATTATGACAAGCAAGTTATCCGTTGACACATCATTTTTGATACCTTGCTTAGGCGCCAAGAAAAATTATCTCAAACTAGACAGCGTGACTAGACAGCGTGGGGGCCCTTTTATTACGGGTTTTTCGGTATGTTTGAAATCTTACTTCTAGTACTGCTTGTATTGGTACTGGTAACAAACACCGAAGCCTTATTGACTGGCGAGGTCTTCTTTTTCGATCGGAACATTGGATGAGTCAGAAAAAGCACCCATGGCATCATAGTCGTTTCAAAGTCATTTCCAATTGGACGAACGAATAAAACATAATCCCATGCCGTACGATCAAAAAGAAATGATATCTGGAAATTGATATTTGTAATAGTCTAATGTGCTTGTTGTGCAACAGGAAGTCTGCAACTTGATCAGAGTGGCTACCCGAGTTCAAAAGTTTGACCCAGTAGTATGTCTCACTTACCGAGCAAATTGAATTGGTTATGAAAGGAGCAACACTTGAAACAACTGCCAGAAAAAGTGAGAACTCTGCCCTCCGTTTCAGTTCTTTGGTTCGTGCTGATGTTGAACTTGTTTGGGTCATTCGAAGTTTATATAACATGAATACTGTCATTGTTGTGTTTGAAGAAAATATGAAGCTAGAGAAGGAGAAATGGATGATAGTGTTGAGTCTGGCGTAATCTTCTCCTTCGTAAATAATTATGGATCCAAATGAGAATGGATGATTCAGCTGTTTACAGTAACCAGTGGTGGTTATATTGACTGCAACCAAGGCAAGTGGAACAAGGAAAAGGAATGGGATGGCAAATCGATACATGATCAATTTGCAGTACTGAAAAGTCATGAATTAACTTGTTAGGCTAAAAATAAATCAATGAAAAAATTACCCTTTCGTTTTGTCTGGGTGACATCATAATGGTCAATCTCATGAGACAGACCAGAAACGGACAGATTATGACTCCGAAGTTACTGTAGTAGGCATACATCAGAAGGAAAGTGAACCCCCGATTTGGTTGGACTCCAGCACACCACGATGTGACGAATCCAGCAGTTGGGAGATTCAGATGAAAATAATCGCCAAAATAAAATAGCATATTCTGAAATTGTCTGGAGTTACATACATTTTCAGATATTGAGAAACTCACAAATGTGAAATAAAACATTATGCAAGCGAAAATGTTATTGTCCATTGTAGCAGAATTGAGGGCTGCTTTTGCTTTTTTGTATTTTACTAGGATGGTCAGCATTACAACAATTGTTGGACAAATGTATAGGAACGGTAGGAAGGCTTGGAATGTTGTAAAATTGAAGACTGGAACGAAGGATTTGTAGGCGTCCAAGTCGTGAATCGAGTCGTTGGCTGGCATTATTTGAGACGGGATCAAGTTCGACATCTGAAAGAATAAATTTGAAAAGATTAGACAGGGGCGGGAAGTCAGAAGCAATACACCTATCCAAGGGCACCACTGATAATTAAGTGATACAGCAAACGAAGTTGTTCATACGACAGACAAAATTTTTGGTTAGTAAAAAGAAATTCGTAAGACAACTAATAGGAAGGACTGCGGAAAAAAAGGAGAAAATGTGAAAAATTGAGTAAAGCTTCAGAAAAATGCAAGCTCTAATTTTAAAAATCAAGCCCATACCAGACAACATGAGAAAGGACTCAAGTACATCGTAATTCGGATTCCCTAGATTATTGTGAGTGACAAAAAAATGTCAACACCTTGTAAACCCAGATTTTTAGGAAAATTTCAGGATAGGTCAAGTATAGCCTGTCTAGACCCCGCTGAATATTTTAGACTCCGCTCGTCCGTTTCAATTCGAGTTTCCCTACCAAAAATACATTTTTAGTGGGAAAATTCGTTCAAAAAATAGTGACAGTCGTTTGAAAATCATATGGTACATCGAAAAGATGATATATTTCTGGTATGGTCCGTATAGGCTCCGAAACAATGCTTCAAATCAGTCACATTATAGTAATTGGGGAATTCAAAAAAAAATTGAAGCATATACCAGAAGGATTCCATAAACTCGCAAAACCAGAAAATAAAGAAGAAAAGGAGAAAAAACTCCACGAGGGTACGAACCCATCATTCGAAAAGTCGGTTCAATTATTAACTCCCAAGTGGATTAGACAAAGAAAAATTCGTTTTTGTTTGTAGGCAATCCAATTCTAACTATTAATTTTTCAAAGGTCATTTGTGCTAATAAAGACTCGTCACCCAAGGTTTAATTTTGTAGGTTATAACTTTGTAGGTTAAAACTTTCAATCCGATCTTTATAAAATCTGAAGAAGAATCGAAAACCAACTGGAAACCCTACGATATCGCAAGCTTATCAAAAACTGTCGACTAACTTGTTTTTGCTTATTTTCTCAAGACCATAAGAGCAATTATTTAAGTTTCCAGGGAAAACACATTTTGGTTACAGTGTCTTGTTTTATTATAATTTGGAACTAAACAAAACAATAACATAAATCAATTTGGATTTCAAATTATTCAAAGAAAATCCAATTTAGTGTCAAGTAAGAAAAACGGATTTGTATAATTCCTTGGAACAAAAAAATACTACTTAGATTTAATACTTTATTCTAAAAACAAAGAGTAGCCGCATTTGGAAAATCAAAATGCGTTGGCTGTGGAGAAGAGATAATGACAGCCTTAGGTTCGCTCGTTCACTTGCTCTTTTTAAAATTGAAGATGACGATAGAGATTTGAAAATGTAAGACAACAAGAGAACACAGCAAACCCGAATCTAAAAATGGAAGGAAAATTGCAAGTCCAAATACATAGCTTCCGGAGAGCAGCTGAAAATGAACTGGCATTTGCTGAATCACGTAGTTTGAGGAATTGCTGAAACATATTCTGACGTTTTTAGCATACATGTCGCGGGCCGCTTCATATG